ATCCTCCTGCCTCAGCCTCCTGAGTAGCTGGGCCTCCGCCACAATGTCTGGATAGTTTTTTCTACTTTAGTAGAGATGGGGTCTCACTCTTACTCATGCTGGTCTAGAACTCGTGAGCTCAAGCAAGCCACCTTCCTCACCCTCCCAGAGCGTTAGGATTATAGGCTTGAGCCACCATGCCCAGCAGAGACCCATTTATAATCTTAAAAATTATTATGAGGACCTTCAAAGAGCTTTTGTTTTGTGGGTTATATCTATCCATTTTGGAAATTAAAACCTGAAGAATTTTAAAAGTATGTCTTTATTCACTTAAAAGTAAAAATAATAGGCTCAGTGTGTGTACATCAGTGGCCAGGGTGCCAACCACATACAGTAGAGCTGGCAGGTTCGAACCCAGCCCAGGCCTACCAAACAACAATGACAACTACAACCAAAAAGTAGCCAAGCGTTGTGGCAGGGGCCTGTAGTCCCAGCTACTAAGGAGGCTGAGGCAAGAGAATCACTTAAGCTCAAGAGGTTGCTGTGAGCTGTGATGCCACAGCACTCTACCAAGGGCAACATAGTAAGACTCCATCTCAAAACAAAAAATAATAATAATAAACCCATTATATGTTAATACAAATAACATTTTTATGAAAAACAGCTACATTTTTTAAAATAAAAAATAGTGAGAAGAGTGGTATTGTTTTACATGTCTGCTTTTCTCTTTAATATCTACCTTAATAGAAGGCAACTGAATTCTCACATTTGTTTCTGCATTCAATTGTTGTCATATGTTGTTTGATTGAAGTATAAAGAAAATATGACCTCACACAGATATGTAGTTGGGAAAAGGAGAAATGTTTTCATTGTTTTTTCAGATAATTATGTTTAGTCATTCTTTTACACTAAAAACCAAGTAGTAGTTTTTTTTGGAGACAGAGTCTCACTATATCACCCTAGGTAGAGTACCATGGCATCACAGCTCACAGCAACCTCAAACTCATGGGCTTAAGCGATTCTCTTGCCTCAGCCTCCCTAATAGCTGGGACTATAGGCACCTTTCACAATGCCCGGCTATTTTGGTTGTAGTTGTCATTTGTTGTTTGACAGGCCTGGACTGGGTTCGAACCTACCAGCTCTGGTGTATAGAGCTGGTGCCCTACCTGCTGAGCTACATGCACTGAGCCCAAGTAGTAGTTTTTTAAAGGTTAGTTCTGATATAAAATCTTTAGTCATATCAACTTTTTGTACTGTTTTTTTTTTTTTT